AGGGCAGCAGAAATAGGAGATAGAGGTCTGTATGAAACCAGATGACACCCCGACAGACCGGACCGGCTTCGAAACACACTTTGACGCGACGGCGAGGTCGCCGCTCGTGAATTTAGGCCCTTTGCTCGCTTTGACCTTCACCTGATAAGCGGAGAAACTGAAACGCAGTTGGTCTAACCTCCTAACGAGCAGAGTTTGGATGTCTCCGACAAAAGAAGGAGAGCAGGAAGGCGTGTGTGTGTGACCAGGGGGTGGTGGTGGTGGTGGGGGGCATTTCAGATGTTTTAATGGAAGAACAAGACTTTTTGTGCATCAACAACACACAGAAATGGCGAGGGCTGTCAGAATGTGGCTCCGTGACGACGGCTGGAGAAGGCGCTTGCTTGATGAGTCACTGTGGTCTTGGTTGAGGAGAACAAAAAGAAAAACCAAGTCAGAAAACACAGATGGAAGGGGGAGAGTGACGTAAGGAGGACATGGCATGAGGCAAGAATCAGCTGAGAGCTGGATGGGAGGGGAGCCATGGTCACACCGAAGCTTCGATTTGTAGGCCAGCAGTGAGCGTGTGTGTGTGTGTGTGTGTGTGCGTGTCAAGGTGTGCACCCAAACACAAAAACACCTCCTCGCATACACAGAAAAGGAAACAAAGACTTTGAGACAGACACTAAACACTAAGTAGACCTACCTATGGTTAGATTTAAGAATCGGCCAAAAAAGATGCATAGGATGGTAGGAGGAAAAAAGAGAGGGGGGGAAAATAGGAAAAGGTACAAAAGTGAAAAAGGCATAAATAGAAAATACAAGCAAGCCAATTAAAATGCCTCTATTATCAAAGAAAGGAAAATTAAAACAGCGGTGGAGTCGAAAAAGTAGCCAAAGTTACGGGTGGACAGTGACTGGAGTGGTGGTGGTGGTGGTGGAGGGGAGGAGGAGGAGGAGGAGGAAGAGGAGGAGGAGGAGGAGGCGGCGAAGGGAGGAGGGAGCGTGGGCTGCACAGGGATAGAAAAGGCTGGAAGTGATAGCGATGGAGAAGGGAGGAAGAATGAATGAATGTAGAGGGGGAAGAAAAAAAGAGGATAAAAGGGGCGAAAAAAATCCCCCTCCTCTTTCTCTTTCTCTTTCTCTCTGTCTCTCTGCCTCTCTCTCCCTCCTTGTCTGGCTCATAAATAGAAGAAATTGTTGACCAGGTAAATGGCGAAATAGATGAGAAGACAGAGGACCGAGAGAGCAAGCAAATGAAAAGGTAAAGCACCTCCCAGCAGCGCGATGAGGAAAAAAAAGAACAAAAAACGAAAGATAAAAGCAAATACTCCAGTGGCCTCCGTTGTCTCCAGTCTATGTGTGGAAGGGGGGATTGGCTGTTGCCAGTTGTTCCCCTTCCCCGGCTGCCTTCTGCTTTCTTCTGTCTCTCCTCCCAAAAAAGACTTCCCATCCAGATGACAAAAAGCAGGCTCAGACGTCCTTTCCTCTCCCCCTCTCTCTCTCTCTCTCGCTCTCCCTCTCTCTCAACTCTGGTCAGATGTGGCGCGCCACTCACACAGGTTAGACATTGTTGCAGGAGCAATGCACAGTATCATCAATATTGCTCAGTGGGAGAAGAAGAAGAAGAGAAGAAAAAAAAAAAAAAAGAAAGGCATTGGAGCTGCTGCTGCTGCTAGTCAAGCACTGCCTACCTCATGAGGAAGGATACTGAGCTGGAATTGCTCTGTCTCCCCTCTCCCGCCCATCCCTGCGAAAAAAGATGGGAGGAAGGGAGGTGGGCCCACTCGCTGCATTAGTATTCATTGAAAGAGTGTGAGAGAGAGAGACAGAGAGAGAGAGAGAGAGAGAGAGAGAGAGAGAGAGAGAGAGATGAGGAGGAGGTGGAGGGGGAGAGGGGTGCCTTCCAACAAATGTCGAGGAACCAAACCGGTGTGTGAACTGATAAGAGACTGGCTCCCCCTAGAGTCAATCATCAATACTCGATTTCAAACGACTGCTCGCTGGAGGCGGCCGGCGCCACGACCTGCGACCCGACTCCAGGGGATCCAAACCTAAACCGGCTGAAGATGAGCCTCGACTCTGCAGCGTCACCCCAGCTGGAGCGGCACTGCGCTTAGAAATTAATGCAGATTGAAAGCTCCTGTGACAGCAGAGTTAGAGATTAGATTAGACTTTATTCTAACCAGCGACGGGGAAACTCACTTGTTGCAGATGCAGGAAGGAGCATCAAGAAGTGACCGGAAGTAAAAGAGAACAAATAAAGTATAAAGAGGAAGAGCTGAGAAATGCAACAGAGCAGTGGTTCTCAAACTGGGGGATAGAGATCATTTCAGGGGGTCGCCAGATCATTCTTAACATAAAGAAATAAATGAAGCCTACATTTATCAGATAAATGTGTATCAGGGCGGTCAGAATTAAAAGTGTTCTTTCCACTCCTTGTTCTGACTTGTTAATATTATGATTTGATTATATTATTATTCTTTTTTGCTCTTTTTTAAATTATTTTCTTTTGTTTTTATATATTTTTTTCCCCTTTCATTCATTCATTCAAAAGAAAATTAACATGTTAATGTAAAGAGATGAATCTGTGGAGTTAACACATTACTTTTTAAAGCATTAATGCCTGAACAACAAAGTTATTGCTCATGAGATATTAAAAATTCAAACTGTGGGGTCACAAACACAAACTTCTGTTGTCGTGGGGGCTCAAAAAGTTTGACAACCGCTGCAACAGAGCCACACACACACACACACTATATATATACACTACAGAGCCATATAATGCATCCTATGATTTAAAATAAAAAAGATAAATAAAATAAAATATTTTATTGATATATATGACACAGCCTGCTATCGACACTAATGCCCTACCACACCTGAACCTGTTCTAGGCTCTTATCCAGGTCGTTTTCTCCTGACCAGTTCCTCGCTTGTGTTGAATCTGCTCTCACATGAACATCGTTTTGGACAAAAGCTAAATGAAACATTATAATTGTAGAATATTGCACAAAAGGGAGATATTGAACTGAAGCTCTGGTATTTTTCAGGCTTCCCTGTTAAAAGTTGAAGGACCTCCATCCTGTTGTGACAACAGACTCCTCCTCTCCTCTGCTTGTTGCCCAAAAGCCAAACTCAGTGTTGCCATGGTGATGAACAACCAAAGCCATCGACGCACAACAAGAGGAGGTCGAATGCACCTTCCAAAGACGACAACGTGTCACTACACAAGCAAGTACTGTCGAGTGTGTGTGAAACGATATGGATGAAATGGTCCATTATCTCTACACCTTAATCCTCACCAGGGTCATGGGGGGCTGGAGCCTATCCCAGCTGACTCAGGGTGAAGGCAGGTTCACCTGGACAGGTAACCAGTCTATCACAGGGCTACACTTAGAGACAGACAACCAAGCACACTCACATTCACACCTACGGACAATTTACAATCACCAATTAACCTCAGCATGTTTGTGGACTGTGGGAGGAAGCCGGAGAACCCGGAGAGAACCCACGCTGCACGGGGAGAACATGGAGACTCCACGCAGGAAGATCCCGGGTGTCCTCACCGGGACGCAAACCGGCGACCTTCTAGTTGTGAGGCAACAGTGCTAACCACTGAGCCATCTTATTTAGTGAAAACATAATCACAGCATTAGTTTCGCCTGATGTGCAAACTCAGGATTCTACATGTAGAACTTAAACAGTGTGAGACAAACTTCGCTCTTTGTTCTGTTCTATCTGGAGACTAAGTTGTTTTCCTGACTGTAGCGCATCTACGTAGTTCTGCTCCGTCCATTTTAAAGTTGTTACACACAGTAAAGGGAAAAAAGAGACAGATGGAGGCAGAGAGCTGCTCACGGATCCTGTAAAGAAATCAGATTACAATCTCCACAGCTGACTTGTTCATCAGATGATTACTCAACTTCTGCCAAATGTTATTTGAAGCGACAAGTTGGGTGTGTCCGACTGACGAGAGCAAACTTTTAGGTAAGTTTCATTCGGTTGTTGAATAATAGAGCAAAACAAACAAATTACCTTAAAACGAAGCTGGAGGTGGAATCCATGTGACAGAGGACGAACAGTCAGTGTTGCTGCAGCACAGCAGGGATTCTGTGACACAATCAGCGGTCTTTGCTCTCTGTTTGGCCAGGACATCTGCCAAAACACAATCAGCAATCAGAGAGGAACGAACACGGTGACAGATGTTAGTACGATTTCCACCAGGAACATTTTGCTGATCTAAGGTGTTCCTTTCCTTGCATATTTCTTCACCTGCGAGCTCTCAGTGCAGCCAGGTTTCACTACTTTTACAACAACTAACGATTATATTCATTGTCAATTATTCTGCTTGTTATCTTCCAAGTTAATCAGTTACTGGTTTGCTTCAGAAAATGACGAATCCCTGTTTCTAAAACCTCCAACTGGCTCCTCAGATGTCTTGTTCTGTCCACAACTCAGAGATAATTAGTTTACTGTCATAGAGGAGGGAAGAAACCAGAACATATTCACATTTACAAAGCTGGAATCAATTAATTTAGGCTTATTTTTCTTCAAAGGGTACTCAAACAATCATTATCAACATAATTAACCATTTATTTAACATTTGACAATTAATTGATTCATTATTGCAGCAACAAAACATCAATTGTTTCTGCCTTAATGAGTCTACATTCGATGTGAATCAGTCATTGTTGAAATCTGAGCCCCTAAAACAAGAGACTCCAGCTAGAAACCGCAAAACAGTTCTGAAGGAGGAGATGAGTTTGATCAACACCGGATGACAGACACACAGAAGAGCTCGGCATAATGTCTGCTACGCATTAACGCATTATTTTCCACTTTATGTGCACATTCTTAATCTCAGTTACCTTCAGGTGTTGCAGGAAAACGCCGAGGTGAGGAAGCACCACATGTGCAGCGAGCTCAGGGAGTTTGTGTGACACATCGCCGCCCTGTGGTGGACACGCCGGGGATCGACTGCTCGGTGTTGGATTGAGACGCCTGGCTCTGGGATCGACGCTGCGCGATCACAACAGCGTTCAGAGATGGCAGCCTTGTCATCACCGCTGCGAGTCTGTCGGGGAATACTGAAAGAATTACGCGCCCTTCAAGGACCGAGTTACAAACAGTCGTTGGCCTACACCTACGTTATGGACCAGTTTCGCAAGAATAAGGCGAGTTCTCCCCTTTAACCGCGTTAGGGCTGCTGTTAGCTAAGTTGCTAACTAGCATTACAAACGGCATGGGAGCTGCTGCTAGCTTTTCTGATCACTCTTGAATGTTTTGCTAGTTAACTTTGAATGAGCTGGAAATATTTGTTGTCTGCAAAACATTGTAATAGACTGAATAAAATGTCCTGCCTGGGACCTAAATGTGGTTGTTGTGAACGTCGCGAATATTTACACGCTATAGTTCGCTGCAAGGTGACTGTAGCAGAAGGGCATGCTAACATTAGCCAGGAGCTAATGAGCGTTAGCATAACTTCATATAAGTGCGCTGGAGAGCAGCCTGTTTAACGGTATTTTCATTAATTGTGTTAAAATCATTATTGTTGATTCAGTTGTGCTAAGGGTTAGTGAAACCAAACTGAGCACATGAGCAATATCTTTAAATATAATCGTGCAGCAGCGGCTTGTTGACTTTTATTTAATATAAATCGTGAAGGAAAACTTCAATTAATTAAAAGTTAAACAGTTTGTATTCATCCGCGGTGGTAAGTAGGTCCTTGTAGTTATGATTGGAATATGTTGCATATCTGTTATTTTACTTAAAAACACAAGTTATCTATTATGTACATAAGATTTTTAAGAAGTGTTTATGCTTGACAACATTCAATTTCACTGGAACTAAAATAGTGCTGAACTTTTTTTTTTTTTTTAATCAACTTAGAAACCTGTTGTAGAGATCCTACCATTATTCACTTTTTCAGTTGAGTACAACTTCTAATGCTGCTCCCACCACTCATCCAGTAAACATGTGGCGTTAACAGTGGCACCTCCAGAATTTAAAGTGATGTCAGTATGAAAGTTAAAGATAAATAACAATTAACGTGCATAGACGAATACTGGTACAGTTCATCATTTTGTTATTAGGGTTACCTAATGAAGCAGTAGCTCCAATCCTGGTCCTCAAGGGCCACAATCCTGCATATTTTAGATGTGTCCCTCTTCCAGCACACCTGATTCAAATGATCAGCTCATCATCAAGCTCTGCAGAAGCCTGATAACGATCCTGATCATATGAATCAGGTGTGTTGGAAGAGGGACACATTTAAAATATGCAGGACTGTGGCCCTCGAAGACCAGGATTGGACACCCCTGATCTGTACGCACAATAACATCATCTCTGTAAATATCCTGCTGTGAAGCTGAAACATCTTCTTAGAAAAAAGAAAACTTGGCTTACGTCAAAAAGATCAAACTCTTACAAAAATAAATTTAGCTGTGTTGTAGCTCAAGGTGGCTCGGTGGTTAGCACCGTAGGTGTGAATGTGAGTGTGCTTGGTTGTCTGTCTCTAAGTGTAGCCCTGTGATAGACTGGTTACCTGTCCAGGTGAACCTGCCTTCACCCTGAGTCAGCTGGGATAGACTCCAGCCCAACGCGACCCTAGTGAGGATTAAGGTGTAGAGATGATGGATGGATGGAGCTCAACATTCAACAAATGGTTTAACTGTAGTTTATAAACTGTGACTCTGTCTGGCAGCTTATATTAAAAGAACAGGACAGGATCTAATTTACCTTTACATCCTGACCATCCTGCCTCCATGTGAGGGATAATTTATAAACACAAGTCATTAATGAAGTTGCCGCTGTGTCGTGCATGTTGTGTGACGTTGTGCACCATCTGGCTCTGGAGACGGTCTTATGGATCCTGCTGGTGTCTGACCCTGCAGGTAATTCATAAACTCCTACAAACAGCTGGAATCAACCAACTCCACTTCAGCTCCTGTTAACCCTTCGTGCTCCGTGTGTGACCTCTGTCAGTTTAAGGCATGAACGCTGTCTGTTGACATTTACGGCCGACTGCTGCTGCGCGTCACTGTCATCTAACGCTGCTTTCACCTAAACTTGGACCTTCTAGATTCAATGATTAAACCCGACCAATCGGATTCGAGGTGGCCACGGGGACGACCAATGAGACTTCAGGGGTGGTTGTGCACTTCCCCCCCAGCCCGCCCCTGAAGGCACCACTGGGCATTAAACAATCTGTCTCGAGCATGTCCATCTAAGTGCTTGTTATTCTGTTTATATCTCTGCTTAGGCATATAGGCTTAAAGCTTGTATTAATCACGCTTGGGAGAACGTGGCTCACCAGGGTGGTCGGATGCATGTGCAGTCACTGAAGCAAAACAGCTAGGAGGAACTCTGCTTGTCATTTTCTATTCATCCCAGCTACGACGACATCCCAAGGCACTGTATCATATATCTGAGTCTCTATAGGGACCACTCCAAATGTTTACTGTCCTTGGAGCTCTTATGGTTGATGAAGGAGAAGGAAAAAAATGGCAGCATGTGATGAAGGCGTATGAGTGCTAATCCCAGGTTGTCCACCGTCTACACTCAGTTTCACTTTTCTGTACGGCTTAATAAGCAAACCAAACATGCTCATCTTTGCCCCTCATTAATGTTTTCTTTATCCTCCCCTCTCACAGGTAACGGGAGAGCGGTACTGCCGTGCCCAGCAGGAGGCGCACCACGCCTCGCACACCTACCTGTGTTTGCTGACGTCCACCAGGAACCACATGGCCCTGCACAACCTCTACCACGGCAAGGGAGAGCGCAGCCCGGAGGAGGTGGCCGGCCTGGTGGGGCTCAGGTTGCCCACACAGCCGGGAGGCAAAGGCTGGGAGAAGTGAGGACACAAGAGGGTCCAGCACTGGAAAGGAAATAAACCTTAAGACTCTTCAGAAAGTATTGTGTGTGGCTGTTTCATCTGGCCCCTCATGTAAATTAAACTCCAAAGGTGTGAAATGTGACAGATGTGTGGCAGGCTGGAGATGACGCCGATGTGGACAGATGTGACTTTTTCTCGTTTTGTGTGAATGTAAGCTGTCTGTACCCTCCAGATTATCTACACTTATGTTTGTCTGCTGCTTAAAAGCATCAAACTAAACCACTGTAAGTACATTTTCTTTGTTTCTGTCATTAAAATATAAATCGTTGTTACTATTAGTTTGTGTTTTTGAAACGTCTTTACACATCAACAAACATCCTGCTTAATTAAATCCATCTATTATGTATTTCCTTCAGGAGACAGCTTACAGGAAACTTGCATTAAGCTCCTTGATGTTATGCTGAGTAGCAGGAATGTGGAGCGTATGCTGTTTGTCAGGCGTCTACACCACACCAGAGGCATCATGCTATCCAGTCGCATGTCTGTCCCAGTCTTGTTAACGTGATATCACAGCACCGCCTGGAGGGAATTTCTTTTTAAATTTGGGTCTAGTTGGACTCATGAATGAACTGATTATAATTTTTATCGTCCATCATGTTCTGGTGAATGTGATGTATCGGGAACGCCTCGGAGGGAATTAATCCAGATTTGGCACAAACGCTCTCTTGGACTCGACGATGAACTGATTAGCCTCCCGTAACATGTTTTTGGCCGTAAGTCAACAAGTCGGCCACTAATTGTAAGAAAATTTCACACAAGTAGGATGAAGTGATATCCCAAAGGTCAAAGGTTAATGCCGCCGTGACACCGTGATGTTCTGCTAATACACTTTAACGGCCGTCATTAAACACCATAACTCAGCCAGAGAGACAGATGTTAAACTGACTGGTTGGCGGAGGAACACGTCCAAGAGGAGGTGATTCTATCAGAGTGAGAAATAATCAAGTCATAGATACAGTCGTGGTCACAGCAGTCTGGGGAACAGGTTGGTGATTGTGACGGTGGGCTGCAAGAAGATCACCGGTTCACGTCCCGGTGAGGACACCCGGGATCTGTGTGGAGTCTCCATGTTCTCCCCGTGCAGCGTGGGTTCTCTCCGGGTTCTCCGGCTTCCTCCCACAGTCCACAAACATGCTGAGGTTAATTGGTGATTGTAAATTGTCCGTAGGTGTGAATGTGAGTGTGCTTGGTTGTCTGTCTCTAAGTGTAGCCCTGTGATAGACTGGTTACCTGTCCAGGTGAACCTGCCTTCACCCTGAGTCAGCTGGGATAGACTCCGCCCCCCATGACCCTGGTGAGGATTAAGGTGTAGAGATGATGGATGGATGGAAGCAACTTGTGTTTGATGCAATAGACGGTTCAACCGGACGAGTCTCGCAAACAACTTGCACAAACAAACTCCGATTATTAGGCTGAACTGTTGCTGCTGTCATCCAGAGCCACATCAGAGCCGTTCTCCTCCTCAGTCCTCTGATAGAGAAGCTGAATCTGCTCTTTTCTATTTCCCTCTCAGCTCATGTAAACTGACCATACAGTCAAAAACAACACAAAACACAACCTACAAGTCCGATTAATGAACCATCTGTGCACTGTACAGTATCGGTAGACTGAAGATTCTTCTTACATAAGACTGAACTTTTACTTTAAGTCGTTGGATGTTAAAGTTTCTACATTTTTATGGTCTTTGCAGCTGATGGTCTTGTGAAAAAGGAAAAACAAAAAAACTCTAAATCTAAGTCCAATCAATCTCTGAAAACTTCAGCAAGAGTTGAATCAAGAGCTCCTGAAAAGTTTCACTAAAAATCTATACACATTGAAATAAACCAGGATGCTGGATTGTAGCGTCCAATTAATCTTGTCTACAAAACAGTCCTGAGCTGCATCCTCTCTCCTCTCGCTCCATCCTCAGTTTGTTCTGACCACTGTTATCCAATCCACGTTTTTTTTTCTTCCTTTTCTCCATTAATTCTACCCTTCCTGCTCCCTCTTATACTCTCCAGTGGTGACTAACGTTGCCTTCAGTATGAATTTAAATAGACTGACCCTAAAGCGAGGCAGCTCACAGTGACACGGGGGAGTTCAGACCCGTGCGCTGCCCCCAAACCAACACATGCGCAGGAAAACCCAAAGTCCGATGCGTCCTGACAAACCAACGGCTTGTGTCAACATTTATATTACGCAAAGAAAAAGAAAAAAGAAAAAAAAAGAAGCAGCAGCAGCAGGATGTAAATGTGTTTCCCCAGCGCGTCCTGGAACGGACAGGCCTGACAAACAGAATGAGAGGGAAGCTGTATGAAGGCGGAGTGGCGCTGAAGGTGGCTGCGTTTTGGAGGTTTGGAGGAGGATCCAAATAAAGAAGGATTTCACACCAAAGCATTAGTTTATGTGTGTTTCCATTCATGTCAGTGCGATCTGGGTGATAAGCTGCGCGTCCATATGCTGTCAGCTTTACGCACCACTATGAGTGAACTTAACGAGTGAAAGGTGATGATATGAGCAGAGAGGAGGAGAGGAGGAGGGCGGAGACGCTCCACCCTCACAGCACAGCTTCAGCTGTTCGCTCCTTGATTTGGCAAAAGGGAGTCGAGGAGTCAGCATCTCCAACTTGTGCCTCCGAAAAGAAGAAAAAAAAAAAAAAAAGAAAACATCTGTTGAGGAGCGTCTGCGCTCACTGGAGCAAAGCGCGCGCGTTTCTCCGGAGGGAAGAATTTGGAGCATCTGTGAGTGACATCACGTTCATCAAGGGTTTCTCAAGGAGTTTGGACGTTAAAAACAAACCAAATAAAAAATCAATCAAGAGGGCAAGTTAACGGAAAGGAGGATCCAGCTAAAGGAGCGGAGAGAGGAGGTGACCCGGTCCAAGCGACATGTTTGGGATGATCAAGAACTCGCTCTTCGGAAACACCGAGGAGACGGAATACAAACTGCTCAGTAGTGAGACCAAGGTAAGCAGTCTCTAGTATCCTCTCTGTGACTTTTGTGCAGCCATGATTACTCCTGTGGAGGCTTCCTCGTGTCTTTGCATGAATATTTCAGTAACTGTAATTAGGTGATGTTATGGAAATGTTGTCTAAAAAAAAAAAAAAAAGAATCGCCATGGGTTTCTGCGGTGGTTATCCAGCTGCTATCACAACCCCTGTAACCTTGCCAGACAGCCTGACAGTTAATTGCTTGTGACCTGAAAGGATGCCCGCTGATCCACAGTGGGTGAACCAGCCGGAGGTCCTTCTGTCAGTCAACAAGGCAGAAAGGAATGAAGATGGTGATGCAGATCTGAGTGAGCTTAACAAATGACACCCTCACACTAGAAGGAAAAAAAGATTCCTGTTGGCTCACTGTTGATTATGTGGACGCCTGTGTGTGAAACTACAAGAGTGAAGTGACCTGCAGTGGAAGAGGATGCTGTTTGTGGTTAACCCCTGAGCTCAGAGATGGATTGTGTGTGTGTGTGTGTGTGTGTGTGTGTGTGTGTGTGTGTGTGTGTGTGTGTAGTCCGATACACAGTGACACACAACACTGACATTGCAGGGCAGGAGGAGCATGCCCTTTCCATGTCAGCCCCCTAACCCTGTGTATGTATTTATATATTCAAAGAACAGAGGGAGTGTGTTTACTGTGTGCACACGTTGGACGGATTCCAGTCGACTCACTGATGTGTGTTGTTAACTAAAGCACTGCCTGACGGTCAGTTCCAGGTTCTTCTCTCGGGCCCAGTGGACCCACAGCGGCGTATACTGTACGTGTGCACGCAGCCGTGCTTTGTTGCTTTTGGCATGAGGCTGTTTGAGAGTGGATTTGTGTGTTTGTCTCCTGAACGGCAGCAACTTTTGAGAGGGAGACAAAAGCAGACAGAGGCGGGGGACAAAGAGGACTCGCAGCCCAATTGAACGGACAGTCTGGGAATGGACCGACCCAAACCGACATGTTTACACACACACACATGGAGAGAGAGGCAGATCTGTTCTGACACAGCAGACTACACACCTATTGTCTGCAGATGGATTCCAAAAATAGACAGTTTGAAGGCAGCAGTTTGTGCAAATAGCAGCTTGAACATGAAGCAACGCGCAGAACTCTCCAAGAAACTCATGAAGAGATTTAATGACCAGAATGAAGCCGCCTCCGAGTAAAGAACCCTCAGAAGTCAAAGGTTCGTCAAATCTCTGACTGATGTTTAAAAACCACGTAACGAAATCAGAGCTTGTCACATGATCCGTGGAGCACCTGCCTCACTCCGACACCCAACACTTTTAATTAAAGCTGACACGGAGCACAGAGGAGCTGTCTGGCAGCAGCACGCACGCTCACACCAGCACATTCACAGCGATATGGAGGTGAAATCCTGTTTTAAGTCGAGCACAGAATAATGTAAAACCAAAAATGACAGTGTTAATAACAGTGTTTGTGTGCTCTGTTCAGGCATATAGTAATTATGCTGCATGGGAAAGCACATCCACAGACAAATTAATTACAGCAGCTCAGTGAAGTTAGGCTTTTTGCTTTCTTGGTGTGTCATCCACGCACAACAATAACAGTGTTCCTGACAGGCCGTACACAGCAAAACGCTTGTAATTACCACGCAGGCGGCTGGGTACCTGTCACACGTTGGAGCTTCGTGGTAACACGCCGTTATCTTGTACGTGGGGGCCTACTTTGTGGCCCTCTGCGGTGGCGAGCTACCTCTGGAGTGGGTTTTGGATGAGATTACGCAGATGAAAAGGTGTTAGAAATAAAGAGGAACACATTTTAGAGTCACAAAATCAGTTTCCAAGATGAGGACGAAATCATTTGCACAGTATTTTTAGATTTGAATTTTCCTCCAGGGAAGAGAAAACACACTTAACAAAGCCACATAGGAATGGAAAGAAGAAAGAGTGCCCCGAGCGTATTGGCCTCGTTGTCTTTGTTTGCTGCTGAGTAAAACACATCATCTGCAAAATAATAAACTGTTCTTCTTTCTCCAGCAGCCAAACCTCACAAATCAGTGGTAGAAATTATGAATAACGATGATATTGTGCAATTAAATTGTGATGCAAAGCCTCTTACACGAGCACAGACACACAAGCGTTCACTGTAAAATCACGTTAGGGGGACGAGGAGCCGTGTTTGAAGCCGTCTCCACAGCCGGCAGATTCCTTCAAAACCAATTAAAGTTATTGCTCAGCCTCATAGTTGAGTGACCGTCCTCCACATTAACCCCACTTAATCATATTTAATGCAAAACTGTTGCATCATATTAATGCACCGTGTCCGTGGGTGTGTGGGGAGGGGGCAGCTGTGTGTCTCTTCTCTTGTTGCCTGTTACATAAGGCCGTGCATCTCTTACCCATTATTCTCTGCAAGCTGACTGAACCCCGCAGAGCAGAAGAAGAAATTAAATCGAATCAGTGTAAATATGTTTCATCTGTATCTGCCCGTTTTGGTTTCACACGCCCACACGTGTGCAGCTAACCCACACAGCAAACCCTCCGAGTGTAAAAGCCTGCCGGTTCAGGGCTTCTGTCCTCAGGAGCAGATTGTCAACATCAGTGTGTCAGAGGTGAATCACGTCTGAGCTGAACCTCTCCACCGCTCCCATCCCCAGGAAAAGGACTTCTGTGTTTTGTGTGTTTGTGCAAAAAGAAAAAAAAAAAAAAAAGAAGCTATTTCTGCTTTTGTGCGAGCAGCAGCGGTGATGCTTCAACCCTAACGTCCCTCTCTTCCCAAGGACGGAGTTAGCTTTGAGGTGCGACGCTACGATGCTTTCAAATACGCCGCTGTCTCCTCTGAGGGACGAACCTTTGACCAAGTGACAGGAGAGCTGATCAGGAAGCTGCTCATGTACATCGGCGGGAGCAACGAGCAAGGTAAACCCATCAGAAGACACGTCGTCCTAATGAATCAGATGAGATGTTCACCAGTCTGGCTCACCAGATGTAGACTTTGGGTGAAAGCTGGTGATTTTCTCTCCCTGTCTCCGACCTCCAAACAGTCGCCCACATGTTGAAAATTGTACGTTTTACTCAGTATTTGGATCGTGCAGTAAAATCCGGCAGGCCTTCCTCTGTGCAGAGTTTCCACCAAAACAATTCCTCATCAGTATTTCCTGTTCTGTCTGTGGCAAAATGAGAATGAGGTGCGGTCAGACCATTCTCTTGAGCAAGACCACGTGTTCACCAATAATTTTACCAAATATTTCACTCACCCGCTGCCTCGTTTAGCTTTCCTGTCCCTCTACCAAACTGTTAATGCTCATGTATGATGGTAAAACTACTCAAAATGCAGACAGAAGCTTTTATAATCCAACGAAGGCCAAAGAGCAGAAACGAAGTGGATCAATAATTGGAGGCAAGTCATTAAAATGCAAGATTTTGAACTAATTCTAAAATTTATCTTTGCTGAAAGAGTAGTAGTCCCATCCCTGCAGCACTGTGTCTGAGCTGGAGAACAATCTGACTGCACCTCATTATCATTCTGCTCTAGATTGTTTTATTTATTACGCATTTCTTCCAGCCAGTCCTCTGGATGGTGGTGAGCCCAGGATCCGTGTTCCTGCAAAATAGTGACTGGAAAATTATTTTGGTGGAACATTTGCATGCAGGGAGGCGAGCGTTGCCTTATTGCACAAACCAAACCTTAGCATTTTATGTAATGTAGGATGCATTGATGGAGCTGATTCCTATCATGAAGGGATTTAGAGGATGCTCAGATGGCCCTGACACAGTGGGGTTCCTTCAGGTCTGTAAAGATTCTCAGTCCTCCAGGTCATGGTTGTTCTCGTAGTTTAATCGTAGCAACTGCTTGAGTTCCTTGAAGATGTTCCACCTCTCATCCAAGAGGCTTCATCAGCTCTGACTGACTAGGAGGCGTTGTTGAACCCCACTGTGGGAGGGGGGAGCACTAACGACCCGCATAACGAGGGGGAGGAGCAACAAAACCCCAATTAAAACTCAGGTGTTAATGACTCCTTAAGGATATCTGGAACTCCCAACTAGTCAGTCAGAGCTGATGAAGCCTCTTGGATGAAACGTCTTCAAGGAAGTCAAGCAGTTGCTACGATTAATCCATGAGAAGAACCGTGACCTGGATGAATCTTCACATACAAAAAACACTCCGAAACTTAACTTAGAATTGAATATAAAAACCTTTGTTAGTCCCAAAAGGGGGAAATCTGCAACATCACAGCCGCAAAGTGCCGCTAAGAAACGCAAGAAAGCACAACTATATATTAAAGAGGTGAGGTGTATACACTATATATACAACATAAATAAGAAAAACAGAACAACACAAGGATACTGAGAACATAGATTTGAGACTATCTACATGAATGGGGGGCTTTGTGTAACTGTTGAGGCTCTGTGTCCTCACTATAGACCATAAGACATCTAATCATCATTAAACATGTACAGCCCACATGTCCTGTTCTGCATTATCTGGATAAAAACCACCAGTGTTTGCATTTGCATAATGATATTAAGCACTCATTGCACAAGTCCTGACCTTTAGATCTGGCTCATGCTGCTGTAGGGAGTTTGTCTGCTCCCCTGTTTTAATTCCCTTCCTGTGTGTGTCTAAGGTGAGGCCATGGGTACGGCGGCGCCCACCATCATCACAGTGTACCCGCGAAACGACGGCGTCCTCTCTCGCCGCTTGGTGGTCGGCATCCGCATCCCCAACGGCTACCAGCAGAGCCCCCCGACTCCCACCGACAGTGCCGTCAGGATCGAGGAGCGGCCCGGCATGACCGTCTACGCCCTGTGTGTGCCGTTCATGTGCAGTCATATACAAGGAGGAGAGTTTTCTGGATCTTGATCAGGAGTTTGCAATGTTTCCTCTTTGTTTTGTTTCCAGGCAGTTTGGAGGGTTTGCGGGGGAGAGCGAGTACCGAGCAGAGGCCTTGCGTTTGACGCGCACTCTGGGCGAGACGGCCCCCTTCCAGCGCAAGCAGTACTTCTGCTGCAGCTACGACCCGCCACTCAAGCCTTACGGACGCAGGAACGAGGTGTGGTTTCTACAGGAGGAGCCGTAGGAGCAGTCGGTCTAGTCTGATGCTGAATTCCTTGTTTGACCTCAGTTACCCTCTCAGCGGGGGGATACGTCCCTGTCAGTATTTATTACACATGCTTTTGTCCCGTCCAATATACACCTGAGCTTTTGTTTCTTCAGCACTGGGTCTTCTAATGATAAGCTCGTACCATCTAATGTAGATAATGTAATTAGATCCACATATAGTCCATTATATTCTTAATTGTCACCTGGTGCCTGATTTTTGTGTTTTCCTTTATATGAATAAAGACGTTGTCACCACAGAAAGGCACAAACTGCATCCAGACTCTACCCGAAGCTCAAAGACTTCCACGTTAATGTGAAACCTGCGCCCCTGCTTGTAGCTGTAAAACTGAACTTAGGCGTTCAAGCGTTTTTGGATCATTTAAATCCAGACTGCAGGCTTCAGAACAAGTGTTGATTCAATTAATTTCCTCGACAGAAAAACTGTTGCCTCGAAAGCAGTTGTAGAAAGTATTCGACTGCTTCTC